TGTGGTGCTTCAAAGAGGAAGAAGCATCTGAGCTGAGCCTTCAAAAAAAATGTCAATAGACAAGGAGGGAGAGGAAAAGAATCTTGGGTGAGAGAAAAACATTAAGTATGTGTGAAGGTTAAAAAGGCATGGAAATGACATGTGTTAGAAATGGAGGGACTCAAAGTATACCCAGTCTGTGGTACAGATGGAGACCTACAAGTATGTAGACAATAAGGTTGAAGTGACAGATCGCAGTTACACTGTGAAAGGCATTTCTGACCAGAATCAGGATTTTGGATTTTAATATATAAACACCTGAGAACCTAGAAGTTTCTTTGAGGGAGTACCATCATCTAGTTTAGATTTTAGACAGGTAACTCTGAAGTCATATAATTAGGGAGATGGGACTGGAGAAATAGAAAAAGACTATGCAAGTTATCTAAGCAAATGAAGATGAGAAGCTGAACTAGGACAACAATTGCAATGGAAAGGGGAATGAATACAAGAGACTGTTGATGTAGTTTTTATAGAATTAACATACTGACACTGGGAATGGAGAAGGAGGAATCCAAGAAGATATGAATTTCTTATTAGTTGAACAGTGCTGGAAGTGAAAATGGAGATATGAAACAGTAAAGTGGAGGAAGAGTTTATGGGAGAAGAGAATTTTCTCAAATTTAGAGATCATGAATTTGAGCTGCTAGATCATCCATGAGGGGAGGCAGGTGACAACTTTCTAGGACTACCTGATCCATTTCCACAGTTTAAGTTACTATCATAGTTTCAATTACTATGCTAATGACTCCCAAATCCATATTTATAGCTAAATGCTTTAAACCTCATCCAGCCCTCCAAATATATCCAATCACCAACTTTTCTCAATTCTACTTCCTACATATATTTAAAATCCAGTATCTTCTCCATTTCTAAACCATCTCCTAATTCCAGCCTCTTATTTGGCCTCACTTTAATCTATTTTTCAAACATAACCACAATGATCTTTCTAAAATACAATTCAATTATTTTATTGCTCAATTAAAAACATGGGTTGTGTTTAATAAACTTGAACCTATAAATAATTAAAAAATCACTAAAAAAGCTATCTCCTGCCTTTAGGATAAAGTACAAAATCTTTTATATTGCTTCAACATCCTACCCTACTTGTCTTTTCAGCCTCATCTCTTGTTCACCCACAGGATACCCTATGTTCCAGAAAGCTATCCTGGATTTCTTTCTGTGAACACATGGAAGATATCTTGCTCACCTCTATATATTTATATAT